GTCACTTTACTAGGAATTGCTACAAAGCTAAGAAAGGAGATAGAAAGAATGCAAACAATGCTTGTGATAACTTTGGTGAAGATGATTATGCTTTCATCACAAGTGAAGGAGCCTCTATGGCTGCCATATCGAAATGGATTATAGATTTGAGTGCTACTAAGGACATGATACCATACAAGTGTTCATTTGACACTTGTGAAGAAATTCCAGCAACCAAATTTTGGTTGGAAGAAAATGGCATGGTATAAGCCATTATAATTGGCTCAATTGTTGTAGAGATTGTTCTAAAGGACCAAATTAAGAGAATCAGATTGAAGGAAGTCTTACATGTACCAAAGATGAAAAAGAACCTCCTTTCGGTGAGCAAACTTATATCACATGGTTGTAAGGTTCAATTTGACATGAATGGATGCTTTGTGAAGACAATGGATAGACAATATGTTGACAAAGGCCTTAGAGATGGAAATCTCTACTTCATCAATTGTAAGAAGATGAATGGAGTTGAAGTGGCTGCATTTGCTAATTTTCCATAAGATCAAGACAAGTTTGGAATCTGACATCAACGAATTGGTTATTTTAATGTCAAATGCATGAAGGAGCTTCAATCCATGGTAAGTGGCTTGGAACTTGGTCATTTCAGCCACAATGCCATGACACTTGCTTGTGAAGGTTGTATTCAAAGTAAACAACAAAGGGCTTCATTTCCAAATGGAGTTGCAACATGTGCAACCAAATTATTGGAGATTGTGCATTCTGATGTTTGTAGACCAATGAAGACACCATGAATTGGAGGAGCAAGGTACTTTGTCACATTCATTGATGATTTTTCAAAAAAAGTGTGGATTTGCATCATTAAAATTAAGAGTGAGTGCTTTTCAAGGTTTAAGGAGTTTAAAGCTCTAGTAGAGAAACAATATGAGTACAAGATCAAAGTATTGTGCATGGAAATTGGAAGTGAATACATGTCAAAGTATTTTGATGAATTCTTGAAGATTCAAGGTGTTAAAAGACAAACCTCTACTCTTCACACTCCACAACAAAATGGAGTTGATGAAAGAGAAAATCGTACCATTGTGGAGATGACAAAGAATATGCTTCATGCACAACATCTTGGGCATGAGTATTAGGCTGAAGCCGTGGTTACTTCAGTGTACAAAAGGAATAGGCGCCCTACAAGTGCACTCACATCAATGACTCCACAAGAAGCTTGGAGTGGCAAAAAACCTTGTGTTTCACACATGAGGATCTTTGGATGCATTGCTTATACAAAGATACTAGATTTCATGAGATCCAAACCTGATACAAAGAGTACAAAATATATATTTATTGGATATTGTGAAAGTAAAAAGGCATACAAGTTAATGTGTTTAGAAACTAAGAAAATCATCAAAAGTTATGATGTTGAGTTTTTGGAGCATAAAAGTGCTTTTGAACACATGGAGATGTGTCTAAATGAGAGTAATGGTAAGTTTGTGGAGAAATCATTAATTTCAGCAAAGAAAGAAAAAGAAGATGATAGTGACAATGAAGATGGAAGAAATGCAAATTAAGGTCAAGTGCCAAAGAAGGTAGACCATAGTATGCCTTTAATTGTTAGAACTAGTAATAAATACAATGAAGATATTGATGATAATGATGATAATGATGATAATGAGGAGTATCAACTTTTAGGTGAGAAAAGATAAGCTTTAAGGAAGAAGAAGCTTGGAAGAGAGCATAAAGTGCAAGAAGATGAAGTCTCTCCAAATGAAAGAAGGTATCCTTTGAGAGAAAGAAAATCATGTGATGAATGGTGGAAGGACCACATTTTTCCTCAAGTAAGTGAAGAACATGCCAATATTGCTCTTCGTGTTGATCTATTGAGTTTGTGTGATGCAATGAAGTCTATGGATGCTATAAAGTGGGAGAATGCTATGGAAGAAGAATTCAAATCACTCATGGACAATAGAACATGGGAATTGACTCAACTTCCACCAAATCGATCTTCAATTAGTTGTAAGTGGGTGTTTAGAACAAAAAGAGATGCAATGGATAATATTATGAGATAGAAGTCTAGATTGGTTGCCAAAGGCTACTCATAAGTTGCTGGTATTGATTTTAATGAGACATTTGCTCTTGTGGCCAAATTCAACACCATTAGAACCATTGTAGCAATTGGGGCAGTAATGGACTTGGAAATGCATCAAATAAATGTCAAGATGGCATTCTTGAATGGAAGCTTGAAAGAAGACATCTACATGGATCAACCTCAAGGATTTGTACAAGAAGGTAATCAACATCTTATTTCTAAGTTGAAGAAATCTTTGTATGGACTAAAGCAATATCCAAGGGCATGATACCAATGCATTGATATATTCTTTGTAAATGAAGGATTTGTAAAGAGTGAGGCTGATCATTCCTTGTATGTAATGCAATCAAATAAGTTCATATTGATTGTCATCTTATATGTTGATGATTTTATCATCTTAACCAATACTATAAAGATGATGGATTGATTGAAGGCAAAGTTAGAAAAGGAATATGAGATGAGTGATTTGGGAGAGCTTTGCTATTATTTAAGGAGTGGAGTTTGTAAGAAATCATGCTAAGAAGACCATTACAATGAGCCAAAGCAAGTATATTGAAGACGTGTTGAAATGATTCAACGTAGAGGAATATAAGCATATTGGAACACCTTTGGGAGCCAATTTGAAGTTGATGAAGCTTACGGAAGAAGAATTTGTTGAAGTTGAAGGTCAAATGCAAGGTGTTCCATACAAGGCAGTAGTAGGCTCACTAATGTATGTAATGGTTGGCACAAGGGTGGATCTTGCATATGCAGTGAGTGTTGTAAGCCAATACTTATCAAAGGTTGGACCAATCTATCGGGCAACTATCAAAAGGATCATGAGGTACTTAAAAGGCACTTTGAACTTCAAATTGTGTCTTGGAGGTGATAACATTACTTTGTACGGTTATTGTGATGCAAATTGAATTAGAGATGTAAGTGAGAGAAGATCTACAATAGGATATGTGTTCTTTGTTGGAGTGGGAGCTATATCATGGAATTGCAAGTGATAACCAACAATTGCAAGGTCAATATGATGGAGGCAGAGTACATGATAGCAAACCATGGTGCAATGGAGGCAATATGACTAAGTCAACTTTTGGTGGACATTGGAGATGTGCAAATGGAAGCAATTTTAATAGAGTGTGACAATCAAGGATGTCTTGCATTTGCAAAGAATCCCAAGCATCATTCAAAGATCAAGCACATTGACATTCAACATTACTTCATAAGAGAGAAGATTGAAATAAGGGTGATTGATATTAAGTATTGTACAACAAAAGACATACTTGCTGATTTGTTGACAAAGGCATTAGTAAAGGATAGACATCACATGTTAACAAAGGCATTAGGATTGAAAGTCTTTTGAACAATAGCAAAGTAGGAGTATTAAAATAAAAGTGAAAGTAGAATAAGTTATCTTGTAGAAGATATTACCTTAGGTAAGTTGCTAATAATTTTTTTTTTCTTTCATAATTTCAATAATTTTTATTTATTTATATTAGCATCTTCTTGAATAATAATATTTTCAGTATTTTTACACATAATATTTCAATAGCTTTGTAGTTATATTTTTCATAAAAATCATAAAATATAAAGTTATGAGTTTTTTTTTTTTTTTTTTTTTTTTTTTTTTAAGTGTTTTTTATAATCGCCATCATTATGTTTTTATTCCTTAAAACTGATTGAATTACATCTTTCTTGGGTGATCTTCTTGTGGTGATTCAATGCTACAAAAATTCAATGAATTCAATACTTGTATTTTGATAAATCCAAATAAATAACATCATCTCTTTCACTACAATTATTAACCTAATTAATGCTCTTATATTATCAACACTGTTTTTACACATTTTATCTTAAATCATCCAAAAAAATGTTCTTCAATCTCATTAGCTTACATTGTTATTCTTTAACTAGTGTTCAATTATATTTCATAATCGTAATAAATTAATTAAGGCAATGTCCAACAATTTCTTATAAGTATCATCCATGGGATTAATAACCACAGATTTTTGAATTTTCTTTCAATAATGTTTCGATTAATCATTTGCTCCATCCAATAATAATACCCACAAACAAACACACAAGTAAACAAACAGAATATAATAAAATCTATCGCTGTATCTATTGAATGCTCTTGCAATACGAATGTTTCACATTTTCAGGAAACCTTTTCTCATGATTTTGGAAAGAATGTGAAAATGGTAAGAAGTTTCATTCGGGCAGAGAGATGATGATGCAGAAACGCAGCTCCGTTGAAATCTTACTCATGCAACGTGAAAATTTCATGCTAATTCATGAAACATCACGTCGTGATGCTCAGAACCAAAGCAACCGAAGATCCGTAGACCCTACTATCCCTTGCCTTTCCTCCTCTGTGAACTGTGTGTGTGTTTGGTTTCGCTTTTATTACACAAGTGCTGGTAGTGGGGCGACGCAAAGATGGAGTAATACAGACTGCTGAGCGAGGTCTTTAAGGGAGTGAGTGGTGCCATGCTAAGAATTGGACGCGAGCATCGACATCGCGTTGACACGGCACCAACAGCAATAATAATGTGACAAGAGGCACATGAGAGATGTGGACCTCGGATCGAAGAGCTTTAATGACCTCTCTCACGGAGGATGGAAAGATCTAGTTGATGACCCTAACGAGAACTAGATCCAGCCTGGGTCTACACCGGCACTGTTCCCCCACGCGAGCAGGAATCCGACACCTGGGCAGCAGCTACATGCGCCGCAGCGCGAATGTGTCAACACAGTTGCATGCGCAACAGATTCATCAGAAAGTCGAAAAATTCGCTAAATACCATCAGCGAAACACGCTGGCAGCGACGCAAAGAATAACCTATCTAGTGCCTCGGAGTGTCCTGCAAGTTGAACAATCTACTGATGAGACTTCGGAGGACGACAACGTGATCGGTGTATTGCTCCTGGAAGCGGCAATGCCAAACTGCTGAGAAGATCTAGCAGTGGACCACCAAAATGTGACGAGACCCTTGAACCATACGTCCACAATATCAGCGAAACTGATCCGAAGCATCGTCAGCAGTAGCAGGAGCGTCAAAAGTGCAGGTTTGGTCCCACATTTGCACACTTGGAGCATTGGAATTGCGACATCTTCTTGCTTTTTCCGGGGGATGGGCCTGCCGCAATTCACATTATTCTGACGTCGGGGAGAATTCCTCTGAAAACACAGAGATGGGTAAAGGGTGATGAAATTTTCTGGTACCCCTACGAACCGTAAACTTTGCTCGTGAAAGCGAAGTTGATAGCTTTCGATTGGTATGGCGATTTACTCCTGACCCATGCTCGATCAGTGATTGGCACATGGTGTTGCGGGAATCTTGTTCGAACGAAGAGGAAGAGCAGTCAGTGTGATGGCGAGGCCAACTGTTTGAGGGCTGTCGGTGGTTGAAGGGGAGCAAGATTCGTTTTGTACCTTGCCAGTATCCGCAGACTGAATGCGTCTAGAAGGTGTTAATTGAGTCTTAAATGTGGAGATTAGAGTACAGTTATGTTCTGCGAGGAAAATCTCTATCGAAAGTTTAGGCAGTGCAGGTTGACGACGAGCCGAGCGAGGGCTTACCGAAGGAGGGCGGGGAGATTACCCAGAATGTGTTCTCGCAGACTCGTGGTTGTTTGTTTGGACCATTGGTGGGCGGACGTATGTTGTGTGAAGATTTAGGGCTGGAAGACGTTTGTGAAATCCCCGAGATTGTGAAGTTCCGTTGAGTTTCTCAATGAGAAAAAACTGAGCGGCTTGATGGATTAAGATGGTGGAGTTGCCATTCAAAGATAAAAACTAGCAAAAGGATTCCTTTGGAAACGCAATTCGATCAGTATGTTAGTGTGTCGAAGGCAGAAATAAGGTCTCACAATCGTAATGGATCCCCTAGCGTCAGAGGTCACGGCGGGAGCAGCCGGGGAAAACCCTCCCTCCGCGTCGTGGCTCGCGGCTCATTGGCGTAGATTCTTACAATCCATATGGAGTCATCTGTTGCATTGCAGCGAAGCAGTTCGTAACGAATGGAGGAATCGTCCCCGCGACGCCACCGAACTTTACATACTCGCTCGACGCAATTTGATCACCATTTCGATCGTCATGTTCAGTGGGGTCTTCACATGGGAAATATCGGTGGAAGAATTGCGGTTGCGCCAGGGCATCTCCGTTGTGTTCCCAATTTACGTTCCGCAAGCCGTCTCGCTCTCCCTGGCATCGATCTGGCGATACCACATCATACCGGGGAACGTTATAGGGCTCTATCTCGCCAGGATGTACATGACGTGGCGGGGACCCGGCTCGACAAGCGTGATCACCTCGACCATGTTCCTTGTCAGCTCCTTAGCCACTCTTCAAAGTCACTTCGCTGCATTCTACCTTCGGAAGCGTCTGTGTGAAAATCGGAACAAGAAATTTCCGACAATCGATTCAGTGTCTGACGCTGCGTGGTTTCTCGTCATCGTCACCGTGTTCTCTTTGTTCTTCTGTACCGTAATAGCCTTGTGCCTCACTGCCACGCCCGTGGTCGTCTGGTCCCAGTTTGGGGTCCTCTGGGCGACATGGTGGCTGGGAGTACTCACGGCTATGATAACGATCACACCGCCGATCATCCACCTCATGGCATGGAAGTGGCGGCCCAGCCTTTGCCGCCCCATGAAGCTGCTTGAGGTTTTATTAACTGCTGCGGCCACCATTGGAGTCTCAACCACCATCTTCTTTTTCGACTTGCAGAAGTTCCGCCCCTTGCCCTTCCTTGCCTACCCGTGTATCGCGTACACAGCTTTTCGGTTTAACCGCGTGGGATGGGCGTTCACCGTCTCCGTTATTGCATTCATCTGCTCGTCGGGGAGCATTCGCAAGCTCGGGGTGATGTATATATTGCTTGGACGACCTCCGCCTTGGTCGGCCAAGCTCATACTCCAGGTTAGGTGTTCAACTTTTTTTGTCGTTGTTAGACTCAACCAATTTTGAAGTTCGCATTTTTTTACATTTTATTTCAATCTGACGGAACTTGGGTGTGTACAGATTGAGCTCTACAGCATAGTGATGGGCGTGGTGAGCATCACAGTCGCCGCGGCAGTGAGGGAGAAGAAGAGGCTAACCCGCACGCTTAACCAAATGAACGTTGATCTCGAGTACCAAGTCGATAGGAGAACTTTGGAACTACGGAAGGCAAACGAGGAGCTTCAAATATCTCAGAAGAAGGCTGAGATGGCCAGCCATGCAAAGACCCATTTTCTGGCAAACATGAGCCACGAGATTAGGTAACTGCAATCTCCCAAACAGTCCAAATTCAGTCCAGGTTGATTCACTGGGATTTGATTCAATTTTCTCGGAATCATTTTAACGAATTGATTTGACATGTCTAGGACTCCGATTCATGGAATTCTGGGCTTGACTGCACTGCTTCTGGAGTCTGAGCTTTCAGTGGATCAGAAGGACAGCCTTTCATCAGCGAAGGAATGCGCTGATCTTCTACTTCACATCATCAATAGCGTGCTGGATCTTGCGAAAATCGAGTCTGGTCGTCTTGAGATCGAGATGGTTCCGTTCAATATCCGCAACATGGTGTCCAGTACACTTCGGATGCTGCAAGCCAGAGCACAAGAGCGTGGCTTGAAGCTATTGTGGGAGGTGGATAGGGGAGTGCCTCCTTCGCTTGTGGGCGATGCTGGAAAAATCCAACAATCCTTGTTGAACTTAGGTTCGGAATCTCTCTCATTCTCTCTTTGCAACCTTGTTCCTTTGTCATGCCTCACACCTTCAATTTCTGTGTGGTCATGCCAATATGCTGTTTCAGAGCATGGAAGTGTCAATGACGAAATGTTTCTCGGGATCTATATAATTATTATATTAAATATGAGTTGATTATCCATGGGAGCTGTTTCTTTGGTTTGTTAGATCAAATGTCGATTGTGGGTGGTTGCTCTAACGCAGCTGGTCTGCCCCGTCACTAGCTCAGGAATGCTAGAAACTAACTTGATGGGGTTGTTGATATTTTTTGGATTGCAGTGGGCAATTCGCTGAAGTTCACGCATGATGGGTTTATATCTGTGAGCATCGGAGTGGCCTCTGACTCTGTGAGAGCTTCTGTGATCGGATTACCTGTTGGTAGGAATTCTGTGCTCAAACTGAATGTAAACGTCTAGGAATTTAATTTCTTCAAAAGGCTATCAATTCTGAGACCAAAAGACCCAACAAATATTTCTCACTGTTCTCCATGAAATTTATTCAGGGGCCAGCAGTGGAGCGGCTCGGGGGTTGGGTGGAAAACTGTCCTGTAATGAACACCACATAGCGCAAGCTCATGAGAGCATGCTTATTCACTTCGAGGTTCGCGACACTGGAATAGGTATCAACAAAGAGAAGCTGAAGGACATGTTCAAGCCCTTCACTCAAGCTGATGCCTCTACTTCTCGTCTTTATGGTGGTACTGGCCTCGGTCTATGTATTGTTCATAGGTACCCTCATCCCCACATGCTTCCTGCCTTCAGTAATTCCACTGTACTGGTCTTCAAGCATGCCATGCTCTTGTATTGGAACTGACAATTGTTTTTGTAATGTCGACAAGATTTGTGGAGCTTTTAGGTGGCTCAATCTGGGTGGAGAGTGAATTTGGAAAGGGTAGTGCGTTCCACTTTTGCTTGCCACTTTTCCTGAACACTTCCCTCGATGAGATATCACTGGAAGCGTCGCCAGAAGTGAGATCTCCAGGTTCGTGATCAAAGTCAACTCTTTTTTCTTTTGCTGCAGCATATCGTTGGTCGCATGGGATTTCACGGCATGTAATCGATTAATGAGCAGAAACGACTGTTTGTGCAGGGAAGAGTAGTGATAAACCATGGAGCCTTCTGCGCAGTTTGGTTTTTAGTCCACCTAGTCCAAAGTGCTCGAGCTCTGGAGGTGGGCAGCCGGATGCTGGACCACAAAGTCGACCTTCAGAGAATCCGTTGAGGTTGCCAAAACATGAACCTAAGGATGATCCTGTGGGGAGGGGGAAGAGAGCAGGCCGTACCATGCTTTCGCTCGGTGATTATCCCACCTTCGGAAACCAGGTTTCGGAAAATAGAGATGACTGGTTAGCTGGGAGCAGTGACTGGAGAAGTGGAGTTTATGGTTCGATGCTCACACCCTACCAATCATTTCTAGCTAATTTAGAAGTAAGCGACCCACCCAGCCGGCCACGGCGATCTTCTTGGTCGTATTATGACACAAGGGCAGAGTCGCAGGGAAGGAGTGTTGCTTTTGCCAATTATGAAGCATCGAGCGAGCGGCTGAGCCAGGTGCTACATCCCCGGCGCAGTTGGGATGGTGGCAGAGGCACATCTAGTGAGCTGAAGACAGACTCTCTGGAGCTGGTTCCCTGGCACGGCAATTCACTCGGAACTTCAACGAGACAAGCAGACAGTTTTCAAGTGGTTGGTACACATAGAGATACTTCCAACATCGGTTCGCCTCCGAGAAGAGGACCTTTACCAGACGTAGCATTCGATTCTACCCAGACAGAACCTGCTCCAAATGGGCTAAAGCAGAGTTCTCTATCAGAGCTTAGCAGAGAATCTTTAACAGAATTGGAGTTGTTAAAAGGGAAACTCAAGCTGAGGATAATCCTTGCGGAGGACAATAAAATAAACCAAAAAGTTGCAAGCCGGCAGCTGGAGAAGCATGGTCACGTCGTCAACATCGTGGACAATGGGCAGCGTGCTCTAGAAACCATCTGCGCGCAGCATGACGACTTCGACCTCATACTCATGGATGTGCAAGTATGTCCCTAGTTCAGAGTTTTGTTAATTTTGCTTTCTTCTGCCTCGAAAATGAGCCTGCCCGGGATTTGATTTCAGAATTGGGAGTAAACCAAGCGTTGCCATGTGCAGATGCCGATCATGGACGGATTATCAGCCACGAAGCAAATACGGAAGGCAGAAGCAGAGAAGGGATGGTCTAGGGTTCCGATTATAGGACTCACTGCGCATGCGACCAAAGGCTATCAAGACACTTGCCTGACATATGGAATGGATGGCTACCTTGGGAAGCCTTTTGATATCCAGCAGCTGCTCAAAACCATTGGTCACATTCTACCCAGAAGCTAACACAAATACCAGATTTCACCCATTTGTACCATACACGAGCATCTAATTTTTCTTCATACGAAGAACTAGGATGGTTACTATAGATACTCGCTCAGTTCTCAAACGATTTCGACAGTGTGCCTTGTCGACTTGACTGCACATCTGAAGATATTTGAGCTCCGAATTCTGACAATTGAACGATCTTGCGTTTCAGTAAAAGATGTGATGTGATGAGGATTCTAGGAACTAGTCTCAATGCTAGGATCTTCGGTCACCACGATGGGTGCATTTATTGCTATTCATACAAAGCTCGGTGTTGTTTTTTCTGCAATTCTGCACAATTCAATGCTCCTCTTTGATATGTACATGGGTTTTTCATCTCCTTATTTCCAATGTGCTATCGCTGTACATTTCTCTCTGCTTTGTTGTTGATTTGTTACTCGATATCATAAACTTTCATCAGCATTACCAAACTGCTATTTTTAGAACTACAAATTTATATTCTTATATTATCACGAAATGAAAATTCGGCAACAAATTTTAGATTTAGAATTCGTATCTTGTAACAGCAAACTTTGGATTGATTTATTTCGAATAACTAACTTCAAAGAATTCACAGTAGATAAATAACTTAATTTCATTTAGATTTATGAATCAGTACTTGTGCAATAAGATATACATGTTTGTTATGTAAATAAAATAAATAAATAGGATAGTGTTGTATAAATAAATAAATTTTGGCAAGAATAATTCCAATAATTATATTTATTCACATGATAAGTTTTGTTGCAATTTTATGCATATATTGTAACATACATCTTTTGTATGCAAACTAGACTCCATTTAAATGTATGTAGTACTCCAAATCATCTTATTAGTTTTTTCAAATCTTGTAACATTTAGCAAAGAGAGATTAAAAAATTAAAAGAAAAAGAAAAAGAAAATTGACAGTAGCACCACCACAATTATTATTATTATTATTATTATTAGCTTCATCCATAAAATCTACTATTATTAAACAAAATAATTTCTAAATAATAAATTTAAAATATTTATAAAAAATAAACTAATAATTGCAAAAATATTATGAAAATATTATTCTCAAAATATTTTTAAAATATCCAATCTTGATAAAAAATTAGAGATAGTTTTAAATGTCTATCACATTAATGTAGATAACAAATACACATCACTTTACATTCAAATTTGGATATAGAAACTTAATCAACACCTAAACAAATTTCACAAAAAAGATGGTAAGATTTGAATAAGTACTAAATTTCAAGAAAATCACAGAAATCATTAAACGAAAATTACATAAAATTGTTGGGCAGTTGTAGGCGGACATCACCGAATAAAATTTTAAGATCTTTGCCCACAAGCATCGGATGCATGAGAAAAATGGGAACCACTACATTCACACATGTTGGAAGGAATCTGTTCCATTGGTGTCCTATCGATGCATCCACAATCGTGTCATGCCAACGCTAGACTTGTTTGTTGTGTTGTATACAGAACAAGGGTGTATTGCGGGCATTTTCAGCTTCATTGTTCTCACCCTCCCCGTCTAATACATGACCCACATTGGCATTTGCTTTCTTGAAGCTGCTAAAGAAAGCAAATGCACATGATTTGCCTTTTTTGAATTTTTAAAGCGTTTTGCAGAGGAAAACTAGATTATTTCCGGTTCAGTGCAGACCATATGAAATGAGGACGATCGATTGAATGTGGGCAAGTTGCTGTCGAATAGAATGCTCTTATTGATTGATGGCCCATGCGTCCTTTGAGTCTCCAGTTGATACGCTAACACATCCATTTATTGTTAAAGAAGGTCCTTCGGTTCAAGATCTCACCCAGTGCTTACAGCACGTCATGTTTACGAGGCTTACAGCACTGCATGTGTGGTGGTGGTGTGCAATCTCGCTGCACAAAACTTTGTGTGATGTCTTCATATTTTCAAGAAAGTTAATTGTTTGTTGTACAAAGGTTGTTTTTGGTATTTACAAATGAAAATCAAGGGATTATTTTTAAAAACACTGCAAAATTAAGAAGGTAGATAGAAAATAGTAATGAACACGATGATATTTAAAATTTTAACTCTTAGTATAAAATTTAGTAATTTACTTTTAATTTTTTTAATTTTAAATTATTTAAGTCCTTAAAAAAATTATACGTGTTTTGAGATATAATACTACAAATCTAAATACTACATTCTATTCAAATGAGTTTTTTGTATCACAGTGGTATTCAATTAAGAAAATATAATAAAACAAAAAATATATAAAAAAATAAGTATTAATATATATATATATATATATATATATATATATATTGACTCACAAATGTGAATACAAAACCTTGATGATCAAATTTTAGGCAAAATGCTTAAAAATTATGAGGTTACAACCAAAAATGAAAATTTAGAAATAACATTACACAAAATCTTACGCATCTTTGTGAAATATTGAAGAAGAAGCACTAATACAAGAAAATATGAAGCCACTTCAACAAAGCTAATCAAAAAACTTAGTTTTGTATATAGCAAAAAATTGGACTTTAAAATTTGCTCTAATATACTTTAGCTTTTAAAACTCCTATAATACACTTAAGCATAGTTTTATGAAAGTTCTTGCACTTCTTAATAGTGGTTACATATAATTCTTCAACTATTTGTTTTCCTAATTGTAGCATTTATGTGGAGATTTGTCAAATTAATTTAAGTGACATTTTAGAAGCATCTATAAGTTATCAATTAGATTAAGATATGGTAATTGCATTAGCTACTTAAGAACTTAAAAGGATCATAGCTTGTAATATTATTACATAAAATTTGTGAAATAACTTTTACTATTGTTCTAATAGAAAATGAATTTGCAATGTTCTAATTTGGATTCTTGTGAAATAGAATTCAAAAAATCTTCCAAAATTCACTTGTAGTAATTTTGGTTCATGTTTACTTCTACTTTATGAATGAAGTTAGATTAAAATATTTTTTTTATTTCTAAACTATAATTAAACAAATACTTTATTGCATTATGTAACAAACTTTTTTGTGATAAAATACCATCTTATTCATCAATAACATAACACCAAGACCTTCTATTAGAGCAAAGTACATTAATCTTTATATGGTCATTAAAAATTATGTATTTTTAAACATTACAAGTTAATTGTTAACTTTTTTAGCAAATCTAATTTGTGCTAGGACATTCTATTGCAAAAGTAGTGGCTTCTTTTTTTGTACATGTATCTACAAATTAATCTCTTTAAATGCAAATTTCTAGGTTTTCTTACAAATGTTCTTATTAGTATCTTCTAAAGTCTCTTTATTGTCTCTATCATTGTATGGTATCTATTAACAAAAAAAAAGTTACAATGTATTGTTATTCCTCTATTATGAAATTATAAGAATGTTCTCTTTGTAATCTCACAATCTCTTCTTTTGCTTAATATATTAGTTCTAAAATAGGTAATTGAGAAATTTTGAGCAATCTCACAACCATATATGTAGTAGTATTTTTTTTTCAACTTTGTAAGAATAAAGTTATTTTTTTATTGTTTTGGTAACTACAACATACTAATACTATTTTTACAACAATCTAGAGTATCCATTATAAAGACTAAAAGCAACAATATGCTCTTTATTTTTATTTTAATCTGAGGCTTTACAAGTCTTTACAAAATTTTAAATTTACTAAGTAATGAAGCAAAAAAACTAAATAAATTAGAAAGACAACAAGGGCACCATTTCTCTCCCTCTTTGTCTTTTTATTTTTATCCTTGAGAAAGACTTCATATGTCATAATTTTTATGCTTGGGTTGGAACTTTTTTCCTTTGTATTTGCTAACATTATCTATTGAAGTTCACAAACCACCACTTATACTAAGTTTTATAGGTCATGATAGATTAGATACAAATAAAAACAAAATCCTAAAAAAAAATAATATAATTGATTTAAAAATTAATTCATTTTAAAATTATATTGAATATAATTTACTTCTTTTAATATTATATATTTATTTAATTTAGTAATCTATAAATTAAAAAAACTTAAGATGGCCAATTTTTTAAATTATATTCTGTATTTTTAGATATATTGATATTAATTATAAAACAATTTTTTTTTTCAAAAAAACCAAAAAATATAACTTCTAATTAATTTACTAATAATAAAATTTTAAAATATATATAAATTTATAAGAATAATAAATCTTCTTATAAATTTAATTATATTATTAAAAAAAACCTAAAAAATAGTTATCATGATTTATAATTATTAATAAGATAAATCATAAATATATCCAAGTAAAAAAAATATAAATATATCCAAGTATAAAATTATAAATTTAGTGATGAAAAAAATAAATTTTATAATGTACATGGTATTAAAAGATTAAAAATAATAATAATAATAATTACAACTTCTTTCTTATAAATCATAAAATAGATCTATTAATATACTTTTTTATACATTTTTATATTCTATGCATCTATACCAAATATAGATACTCAAAGAATTTAAGAACCACTTCATAATCAATTTGGTATATCTATGTACAACCATAATAATAATAAATTATTATTTCTTTTAATAAATCATATCTTATTATCATTATAAAAAAATTAAAAAAAACTTAAATATAATTCATTATAGTAAAATTAAAAAAGAATATAAAAAAATCAAGAAAAGATCATGTTTTATTTGATAATTTTAAAGATATTGACATTTCTTATACATACAAAGTTTTAAAAGCAACATTCTTGTTTTTATTTCCAAAGTTTGATATTTTAAAAAGTGTTAAAAATCTTTAGAAAAGCCTTAAGTAAAAAAATATGTTTTACTTATCAAGGACATGAACCTTAATAAAAAAAAATTAAAAAGACAATTTATTATTTTATTATTAAAAAAAAATTTAAACATGATTTTAAGAAGAAAAAAAAATTAAAATGACTATTATCAAATACAAAAAATTAGAGTCTTAAATTAAGACTAGATTATAAAAAAAGGTATTGATAAGACTAATGATAGCCTTAATCTTACTTTTATATATTACCTATCAAGAAGATCTTATAAAAACTTTTAAAAACCTCAATACTTATGGCCTAAGCATTGTCGTGATGTAAGACAACTAAAAGGTGAAAAGGATGAAGAAATTATTATAATATAAAAGATCTTAATTTCAATATTATAGCAAATTATCTTAAAAAATAGACAATAGTCCAAAAGAAAGTAAAATTAAAGATATAAATGCAACCTTTTGCAAAGTAGGCTTCTACTTATTTTGTAAGGCCTTAAATACGGCAAAACAAGATAAATTAGAAAAATAAAGAATATGATCATTTGTAAAAAGAAGTTAGGAGTTGATTTTAGTAAAAATTAACTCA